GAGAGAGAGAGGGAGAGGTAAGTAAGCGCTTTCTTTCCCTGGTGAAATATGATTCATGTGTCTGCTCGTAAAGACTCTTTAAACTCATCTTTAATTCCAATACGGTAAGATCAGGTTATTGGTGCATTTTTCAGAAATTCCAGATGACCTTTTACTCTTTATCCGTCAATAGTTGTAATCTTTTCCAAATAAACCCATAATTTTTTCAGAGTAAAATGAAATAATCATTAATAAATTTCGCTATGCTATGCATATTTCAATTATACGCATTCCGGGATTATAGGGAACTAAATGAGATTGATTTCAATGTTCCATTAAATTAATAAAAGTGACACCGACAACCTGAAGCATGATGTCGCCCGTCATTATCGGTACCGCATTATCACTAATATTTGTATTGTTATCATTCCACAAATGATAATTTTAGCTATTTCGCTACTGTTAACAGTAGCAAATGGTAACTGCGGTACGATCAGTTGTCTTCTGAAGCGCCCAAAAGATTGTTGATTAATGGTTTCAGAGGTGCGGGAGGGAAATGCAATGGTTATAAAAAGCTGTGTATACTGATATTATCATGATAAACGAAATCAGCCAGCTTACCAGTAATTCGTATTCAGTGATAAAAATGCAATTAATGAGAAGTGCAAATGATGGCGTTAATGCAGTGTGACAATGCATGCAGCCCAGTAAAACGTGCAAAAATACCATATATGCACATGAAGGCTTGAATCTAAAATTAGGAATGTGTATTGGCCTCTTTCTTTTGGCTACTCAATTCAATCTCATCTAATCTGTCACTGCCCATTAAAACCACTATCAAAATCTCCAATACAAAGAACCCTCAAGACTGCTACTGTTAATAGTGGACGAATTTTAATGACTCTATCAAAATTCGGCTTTACATCGAAGACATACGTCGAGTGGGTAATGTATCTGGTTGATGTAATTATGCGTTTTTTTTTTTTTTTTTTGTTGACATTCATTCGACTCTTTACTTATTTGTTATCTCTTTGCTTTGCCAACAAAATTTGATCCAGTTTTTTGTAAAAAATTATTATATTTTATCCATTTTATAATATAAACGATCGATTTTACTTGAGAGCTTTCATTGATTTAAGAAATAAGCACATAGAGATTATGCACTCTGGTTTATGTATACGTTATCTTGAATTGGAATATCTTCCAATTTTTTCTTTTGTTTCACTTTTTTAAAATTTCAGAACTTTTCGGCATCCTGGCTATCGCTGTGTTGTCACATTCATCATATAACAATTGTGGTCCTAGTACAAGCATACAAGCATTATTCTTATCATCTCCAGTATTAACCATGTCTCTCGCTACAAAGAAACGTTTTGTGATGAAACAAGCGGAAAGTGAATTGTTCTTGCCAAAGGAGAATGAAATTATCGCACGTGTTTTGACTTCTCCCGGAAGGAATCTACACGAGGTTAGCAATCACCATTTATTCTATAGATACTGCAGAGCTGTACGATAGTGTAGCTGATTAGTTGGTGTTTTATTAGGACTTGCTTATCATTAATGAGGATCTGGAAAGAATTCCAATTTTTTTCTGCACTAACTTATGAACTACATAATTTGCTATTTTGGATGCATAATCAGTGCATACTTTGAATTAGGTCTTATTGAACTCGAAGTTGTTCCTCACCTGAATTTTTGTTCGAAATTGGTTTAACACTTACATTTTTAGCGCTTCTCTCAACATTGTTAATTTCTAGTGTGTCTTTGAATCTCGCATTGGATGCGATAGTTCAGCAACAGTCACTTCAGTTTTCAAATTTGCAGAAATGATGATCCGTGTATCCATTTTGATTACATACAAGCATTCATTTTCCTATCTGGATTGATGTGTTAGTGCAATCTTATTTCAGGTGGATGATGAAAAGGGTGAGACATATTTAGTAAGCATGCCAAGGAAATTCAGAGAGACAATTTACATCAAACGAGGCAGTTTCGTCTTTGTGGTACCGATAAGCGAAGGTGTCAAAGTGAAGGCAGAAATTACGCAAATTTTGGATAAAGAAAATGTTTTATACCTAAGAGAGCTTAAAATGTGGCCCAAAAGGTTCGCGTTCCGGTGCATACAAATTTTTATTTACTGAAGTTTACCATTTTTACTGTTTCTCCTATTGATTTTTGCAATAATAACATATTTACACGTTGTATCGTACTTCGTACCACTTCTTAACTGTATGAAGTAGCAAATACCGTCTCTAAAAGGGAGCGCAAACATATATAAAAATTGGATCTCATGTAAGATGAACAAGATAATTCCAGTTCAAGAAGGAGCTGGTTTTGCGTTGCTGAAAAGAAATCGCATTCATTACCTATTGTTTTAAGCATCTAGTTTTTAGATTTGAAATATATGCAGAAAGTATAACTCGTGAAGCAAAGAGAGGTATTGTTGCTGGCAGTACAAAAAAGCATGACGTTATTGATGAAGATATGCTACCACCCAGTGACACGGATGATGACAGTGAATGTGACACGAGTAATGACGATAATGAAAAGCAGGATGGCGACAGCTCGGCGGACGGTTTTTCCGATCTAGAAGGTTCTCTTCAAAATCGTTTGTGTTTGATCATTTAACTGCTACCTTAGTTACCTTCATATAAATCTCCCATTTATTTGAAAAGAACTATGTGCGTGTGCGGATCTTTAAAATAATACTGATTGGTTTAGCAAGCAACATGCACAGCATAAAATAAAAATACAGAGAACTGTGTTAGATTACGCATAGGCAGGATATAAAATTGCTGATCACTGTCCATTTTGCCACTTCATTTTTAGACGATCATGCGGTTACTGGAGCTGTTATAAGACTTCTTTGTTTTTTATCACTTACTCAGTGCTGGAAGATGTAAAAATTTTTTGAAATTAGGATTTGAGCTACGTTTAGATATCTCAAAGATATTTCTCTTAATAAACTTTTCTGCGTTGCACATCTTTGATTTTAATCAATTTATTGTATTTTATTACCAAGCTTTTTTTAAAACATTAGCTTTCCAGAAAGTGAAGAATTGGGAGATGACGAAGCGAAAGATAGCGACGAGGAAGAATCACATAGTGATGATCTTGCTTTCAAAATATATAATCCAAATCGATTAAGACGATTATAATTTTTACTGTTCCTTTCTCCGAATTTGACTAGTCTTGAAATTCTAGATGTTTTTGTTATCCATGAAATAATGATATGATTCTTAATATTTCTTTCTCTGACAACTTTTCTTGATAAACCAGTATAATATCTTTTAGCAGTCATTTTCCACTGCGAATTGTTATGAAATTTCCGTGTTTTGTTTATTTGGTCAGTAATTTGAATTAATCTCATTTTATTGGTGTTTTGTTTCCTTGATTGTGTTTTCATTGACATCTTTATTTTGTTTTTTCTTTTTTTTTGATTTTGTTGAGCTTAAATTTATTCGAATGCATCATTTTGCGGACGAGGTACTGTAATTGTGATTGCAATTGAATTAGAAGTTTGATTTCACTTCAATATCCTGGTTACTTCATTATTCGGCAGTTTCAGAGTTTTGAAGTTCTTTGCAGCGGTGCAAGTATTTGTAAGGCATATACGTTGGTCTACATGCCGGCCATCAAGCGTGCGTTAAGTTCTACGTTAATTCTTTTCTGTTTAGTAGAATTGGAACATCACTCAAAAACAATTTTAGCGGTAGTCAAAAAGTAGAGAAGATTTTGCTGACATAAAATTACTGCCTTCTTTAAAAATTACTTGAAAGTACAACCGAGGATCGATGTACATCACAAGCCTTGATTTGGAAGTTCGTTAAAGTTGCGTTACTGGATCTCTGCATTTCTTCGTTGACTTACTTTTCCCAAATATCATGTGGAGAATGCTTCGGTTGGCGGTATTACGCTCATTTATACTATATGAAGTAAACTTATTTAATAATTTTCTTTATAATAATTTATGTTTTTAATAATTTATAATTTATTTAATAATTTGTATTATAGAGAACATTAGGGGGTCTTTGCTACTGAGATCCAACTTCTCTGTATGCTCAGTTCACATATTATATAGATCCCAAATAACCATTTGTTTTAATTTAGGGTAAAGTATTATGATCTTTCGTGTTTTTCTTCTTTTTTTTTTTAGGAAAGAAATAGTTGGGATGATTTTATACAAGATATAATTTTTGCAAAAATTTGGAAAATAACGATGAAGATTTCAAAAGATTGAATTAGAATTTTGTTAAGTAATTATAAGAAATTGAAATTCATGAGAATTCGGGAGCTGCCATTTGAATTCATTTTCCCCTCATTTTTCTTCGTGTTCCTTTTCAATACTCTTTTCTCATGAGAAAATTCCTGACACTTCAGAAATGGATGTGCAAAAAGTATTAACAGATTTCTAAGCCATCTCGTTTATGCTTCTTTTTTTTTGTCTATAGTTTAAAAAAGGCAGCTGCTTAAATAACCACAAGGCTATCTGTTCTGTTGTCGATAAAACTTCTTCATGCTGGTTAAATTTGTTTATAAGTTTGATTGGATAAGTTCAAGTTGATTTTAAAAAAAAACTAGTTGAAGGATTCGAATGAAAAAACTCTCTTGATTGACTCCTACCACATTATTACTGCCTCTTATTTGAAACCCCAAAAAAAAAAAAAAATTACTTCAACAATTATTCTATAAAAAACCAATTTAATGATCATTCTTATCCTATTTTACTGCTTCTCAACTTTCATACGAAAAGTATTTATGAGATTCAATCTATCATTATTCAAATTCTTCATTTGCATATTAAAGAAATCATACCTGTTGAAGAAGTGGAATAATTACCGTACAAAATAACACCTGTCATCAGTATGTTACACTTTCAAATGCATGTTGCATTTCAGCATGCTTCAGTAATTTCTATTAAATATTTGACGATAAATGGATAGGATAATGAATTAGGATAGATGTCATTTAAATAAAATGATTTGTTAAATTAATAATTAAAAATGAAGAGTAAATCTCCAGGATTATTTCTGTAATTTAGTTAATGAATCATTGATTTCCTTTTTTATTTATGTTCAAATTTTATATTTTTAAATATTACAAGGGAATGGAAAAGTTTTTTCATTCTTTTTTTTCTTTTTGTTATTTCATTTTTTTCACTTACAAATTTCAATTCAATTCAGTCACTTTTTGTCATACATTTCAATATTGCAATCAAGCAAACCTCATAATGTATCTCAATTGACAGATGATGAAATATATGTGACATATTATAACACTTCTTAACATTCTCTTCCCAATGAATTGTGGATGATAAAGTTAAAATTCGGAAGTGATTGAAAAAGTGAAATTACCTGCTAAATTAATTAATCACAAATTAACCTTCATTTTCTCAATGAAGCTTATTTGATCAATGATCCACTTGTTATCTTTATATTATGAATATTTGAGCTAATCATAGAATACAAAAAAAGATTATCAGAAGGCTAGAATTATTGTAATCATTGTAATAAAATGAATTTAATGGTTTAAATTCACTAAATCATTTAATTATGATTAAAAATTAACAAATTTGATGAATTATCATTGGATATCGAATTTATGAGCAAAATTGGAAATTGCGACAATGCCGCCGTTGCAGATCTATGGTGTCCTTTTTAATGGAATAGAATTTATTTTTTTTAATTAATTAATTTCGACATCAAAACTAAATATGATTCAGATCGAGGTTTTGGAAAAAAATTAAAGGAACATCAACGAAAATGTGATAAGATAAGAGTGATTAACGACTTATCACTTATCACCCCTACCTTTGATGTCTTTGATAAGCAAATTATGTTTAAAATTTGAAAAAAAAAAAAAAGTAAAAACAGATCTGTTTTAAGTAAAGACGGTAACATTCTAAAGTATTACATCCATTTACTTCAAATGAATCGTTAATTATGAATGCAAAGATAATTTCTTGGACAAAGATAATTAGTGAAAAAAAAAAAAAGGAGAAAAGTTTTTTATCACATATCTGAAATTACACTCATTTTTACAATGGTTACATATAGCAATAAGTTGGAATATTTTTATGGAAAAAATATTGATATGCTTAAATATTTTAAGAAATCTTTCATCTCTAGGCTATAGTAAGCATACTAGGCTCATTTTCACTATGACTATATATGGCCATAAATAAAAACACAAAATATTGGCTTATCCTAATTTTAGTTATTTGTTTCTCTTTACACATTTTTCTTCTTTTCCTCTATTTTATTTTCTTTCTTTTTCCTTTACGTTATGATAACTTATTGAAAAAAATAATAACTAAAATTAACTTTATTGTTGCTAATCCAATTTTACGGTAACATTATGAAGCAATTTTAATAAATATTTACAAAGTTTTCTCTACCACTTTTTTTTTTTTATTTTTATCCTTTCTTATTTTCTTACATCTATCAATTTCTTACGATCTTTTAGCATGACCTCAGCAAAGGTCAAATTAGAGGAATAATTTACACTAATATGGATTTTAGGCTTTTTTTTTTTCTCTTCTCTTCTTTTTTTTTTAGATTGTTATTGTCTGGAACAAAATATTATTTAGGCTATGTGCAATAAATGTTAGCTTAGCTAATTGTATGATTTTCATGGGACATAAGAGAAAAATATATTAGAATCTATTTACTATTATGTTATTCGAACCTTCACCTTATAACCTTACAAATCCTTAACAAGTTACAAATTACAATTTGTAAGTTTACAAGTTACAAATGCAAGTCACGTACGTCACGTTACAGAATGCTTTCCAAATTTACAATTCACGTAATAACATAACTTTCTTTGTTAAGTATACATTCTTCCCATATTTGGTATATTTTTTTTCTTTTGCATGTCACAGATTATTCCAATGAAATATCAATAATAACTCTTGCGCAGTAAGCAATTTGCTGCATTTGTGCAAGCGAAATGCAAAGGTAAATTTAAAGTATTTACTACCTGGTAGAATTTCATAACAAGTTTATATTTAGAAAAGTTCATTCATCGTTCTCTGTAAACAAAATGCAAAGGTAAATTTAAAGTATTTTACTACCTGATAGGATTTCATAACAAGTTTATATTTAGAAAAATTCATTCATTATTCTCTGTAAAGAGCAAATAATAATAATTTTTTTTTCTTTTTTTTTTTTTTTTGCACAACTATAATTTTGTAAAATTGTTGTTAATATTGTAAAAGTTTGGGATTAATCAGAATGTATTGAAAAATTTATTAAATTAAAATGTGACAATTTCATCAGTTTTTTTTTTTTGCATCATTTCAAAGTAAATATATAATTATAATTGAAATAATCTAATTTAAAAATTACTATTCATTTTCTTCATTCTAAAAATATTTTCCTTCCAATACTTTCCATCTAAATTGAAGACTTTTTTTGAAATATTTCAAAGTTTCCAAATGCTACTCAAAAAGTACGACAAACATTTTGTAAAAATATTTCTTATCGAAAAATATTGCATGATTCATCTCTTATTGCATTGCAATTTCTGCAGCACAATCACTCATG